ATGTGAAAGATTCGACTACCCTTGTCATCACAGAGAAAGAGAGAAAATTAGAAATACATAAATGCTGTCTCGAAGTTATGGGGTCACCTCATATGAATATGGACAATAAATTATATCCGAAACGTTATCCAATATATGATACTGTTTCGCTGTGTGACATTTCTAATAGACAGAATAAAATGGAATTACTATCTACCACAGTGCTCACCGTTACTTTAATATGAATATCGTACACTTTGTTTTAGAGACATCAGTTACTTTGATGTTTAGACAGAAATGAAGCAACTACTGTGAACGGTCTATTGGTGCTTGTGTTCCTTTGAATAGTTTGTCTCTGAATTCTACTAGTTCCATCTGTTTAACAACTGATACCTGGTAATACTTATGTACTCAGGATCAAACAATCATAATTAGACGTTCAAAAAAGGAAGTACTGTCACTGCAACTACCTTGGTTCTATTTGGGATGCACAAAATCATTCTTATCCTACCCTAAATAATCTTATTCCATACTGTAGGTACCTGCTTCATCTCCATAATCTGAAATAACTTTGGCATATCCGTTTATTTCACATACTTTGTTCCCCAGCATGAGTAACACTCTATCAAGCTATTATTACTAAAATCATCTTTCTTTGCTTGTTTCATCTATCTGTCATAAACACCTTCCTATTGTTTCATTAAACCATTACCCTAAAGCATTACCTATTCAGTGTAATATCTTAGATTATTAACTTTTTAAATGAGTCCCAGTAACAGTTGATACTATCCTGGAAATTCACAAAAAATATTTTGAATTGACTTCTACAACTATATAATGTTAATCACAGACTGCTAAGTAAAATCTCAATATTGCTGAACTGATGAAAAGAGCCTAGAAGATTTGGATTTAACGGATGATTACTTATGCCCAATGTCGCACAAACTCGAGTTTTGGTTGGAATGTAGTTTCAAAGTGCCATGTGGTTTCGGTGACAGTTGGTTAACTGTATTTTTGTTTTAAATTTTTCAAAACTAAAATAATGTATACATACGAATGCAGAGTTTGATGGATAGTAAAAGAAAAGACAACAAATAAAGAAGACAGAGGAGTGGACTTTGGTTAATAGAAAGTAAAGGAAGAAATAACGTAAGAACATGATTTTTCTGAATGCACACTTTCTGGTTTGATGAGTCTTATCGTGACAGCTTCAGCTATGTTGAGCAGATGCTGGTGACCTATACGTGGTACTATTTTTGGTACACGATGTACAGCATTAAAAGCTTTATTAGCATCTCTGTGATACATTGTGTTTACTAGATCCTGTGGGATAGAACTTTTCACCACTTTCACTCAACGCTTTTCTAACCAAACTTGTAAACTATCTAGTATCTGTAGACTCACCTGCCTAATCACATTCACTATGTAACTTGTTACACTGGGATAGTAAGGATGGAAGAATAGAAACTAAGATTAGGAAGGCTATCCTTAAGTCTCGGGTTGAGTTAACATTGACCGACTGCTGAAAGACTTGCAAAGGCAACTTGCATAAAATGTTCCATTGACTGCTCTAACTAGGATCCGTGATAGGATGTCACTTGGAGAGTCTCCGTTGAGTTGTAGTCACAAGAACAAGGGCTGCTTTTATACTGTCATGAATTTTCGTCAAAATAAATACCCTCAAAGTTAACAAAACTAGTTCTAATCACTACAGAGCCGAACCACCAATTTTTCAGATCATAATCAACTACTAGTCAAATTGGTTGAAGTAAACTAGTTGGCCACTGGATGTATATATTAATATAAGCCAAGTAGTTGAATCTCACAGGCCGATGACGGAAGCACCATGTTGGTAACCTGGCGGCCAGCGATGCTGACTTATCCTCAACTTTCTTACTTACAGCTTACAAACGGTCCAAGGAATTCGAATAAATATCGGAGAAAACGTCCTGTCACAAAAGCTTTTGAGCTTCTCCAAGCTAGAAACTGTGATTTTCTGTCAGCTTATCAGTTTTAAGTCATCACTGTCTAGTCGTAGTATTGTTCTCACAGGTCTCTAGATATTTGAAGAATGACGCGATCTTCATCCCAGCTGGAGTCTAATACTCTTTATAGGTAGGTGACTGCTCTTATTATAAAGTGAATTAGGTGCCATCAGCTAAGGTATTGGGCAAGTAACTAGACAGAAAATGTTCGCATAACCTAGACAGAGTTCTGTCCAATGACTGCACATGTCACTGTGAAACTTTACTTTGTTACCAGATGCTGGAAAAAATATTTTTCTAAAGCTTATTCGACATCTACAGTATAGTGAACAAGGCGTTAGTTATCCGTGAATCAGCTTTCAGAATCTAATCGGAATTAACACTATCTGTCAACTTGTTTGAATCTTCCACTTCAATATTTTCCGCCTAATGCCCTTAGTGTTTTTTTCAAACACTTTTTCCCGCGGGTTTTAATTCCACTTTTCACGAAGACTGACTGTGAAGAATGATGATCACTATTAGGTGTTTCTGAAGTGATGACTGTGGAAGTTTAATCAGAAAACTAGATACATTCATCGATGTTGATTTAAATTTCCATTTCTAAATACGTACCCTCTTTTTTATGTGTATCTATCTAAATGCTTCATCTTTACGCAACGAATTATTAGTAACACCGTTCTTTTCTGCAACCTCAATTTAGTCAAATTGCTGTTTCATCTTCTTAAGTTTTACGACTGTCTTACAATGGAGTCAGTGCTCGGTTTTTGGGGCATTTCTAACACTTGAAATAAGCGCACATTTCCCGGTATTACATCATGTATGTCACTGCATATGGACAATTATAAATATGAATTCGGTCCTCAAAATGTTAAGATCTTAGACAGTGGAAACACAAAGAATACCAGTGAATTCATAGAAGCTTGGTATTAGGTCAGCCAGCAAGAATTACCATAAACATAGACCCAGTCTACCAACCAATAAGAAAATGGACAGAAAAATACAGGTCCAGAGGTCAGGCAGAGAAACAGTAAATCGTAAAACGTATGCGGTCAGTGGCACTAAAATCAAAGAAGCTACCAGTCACACACAGCTTCATCAGGGCAAGTTGCTGGATCATTTATGCAGAAATATAAGTAAGATTGTTTTCTAAAGAGGATTTTTAAAATTGAATGAATAATCCTGTCCTTACATTTACTTGCATTGCATCAAAACATATCTGTACAAGTGACTAGTGTCTCAAGTGACTCCAATAACACTAACAAAAAGCAACAATCTCAACGAAGAACATTCGTTTTGATAAGTGTTCTCATAAGCTTCTACCAGCATAAAATGCAACTATACAGTGTAAAAATAAGCCAGATTTGGTTGGAATGTAGTTTCAAAGTGCCATGTGGTTTCGGTGACAGTTGGTTAACTGTATTTTTGTTTTAAATTTTTCAAAACTAAAATAATGTATACATACGAATGCAGAGTTTGATGGATAGTAAAAGAAAAGACAACAAATAAAGAAGACAGAGGAGTGGACTTTGGTTAATAGAAAGTAAATGAAGAAATAGCCAAGCCTGTGAATGTTCCGTTACCTGGAGACACACCTGCCTAATCGTACACCTTGGGTAATTTGTTCCCAAGCAAGCCATGAATTACGAAATTCAGCGAATGGAAGGGATTTGAAGGCTTCTTTTTCAAACTAAGGCATTCATATCCCACTAACTACTAGCACTCATACGTAGTTATCTCAAGGCTTCTGAATACTGCTGAAACTATTCGAATTTGTCACAGAGTAGAACTATTTTCAATCAAATATGCAACCTGTAAGCAGTAATCAAATTCAAGTAAGCTACAAGGATATTTTTTACAGCTGGATAATAAACGATATAAACAAATTAATCTGGATTTAAAAGAGAGAAAAAAACACCAGATGAAGCAATATGACTTCTAGGCGAAAGAAATATTTTGTGTAAATTGACTCTAATCTTGTAAAACAAAAAAAGAATACCAGAATAATGTATAGGAAACAGAAGAATGTTAATCTTTGGCTTGTGCAGCAAATTATTACCAGCGATAAATTTTAAATTAGCTAAGTATGTTTATCTAATCTGTTCAACTTGGTGTTACAGAACACCTTTGAAGACCGCACTCGGGTACGTGGATTAAAGGTAGGTTTGTAAGCACACCAGTGTTGAAAAGCAGGGTGATACTTATTTTGTTTCGATATTTTATAATTTGCTACAGTCTATGAATAAGGCAGTTGACTTTCAACCAGTGAGTTATGGGTTCAAACTCCTCTCCACGTAACTAGGTTCCACTGGTTAGGTACTAACATAAGCTCTCACAAAAAGGCATGTTTCATTGCCTACTAAAATAATTTCCTGTAGTTGTTCTTCTAAATTGTGTTTACTGTAAAAACGGACATTTCTCTTGGTCCCCTTCATCTACGCATCGAACGTGACTAGTGCACAAAATCTCAGCAAGAAGTATGAATTAAGAGGTGCTGGAAGAAAAACCGCAAATTTTCTTGAACTCTGCAATGAGACAGCTGATTATCTGAGCATTGTAACTGTGACACATTACCTTAGGGTATGTAGAAGCAGACAAGTTACGTCATCAATTATCTATTTTTTACATCCACAGAGTAATAAAACCTAAAAAATGAAGAGTGAAAATGGTGAAGAACCAGTCTTCCCATACCACTATTCAAAGTGAAACAGGTACCTTTTGAGTGTACAAGTAGATCTTTTCCTCAGACTTCCGTAAATCTCAACTAATCTACAAATATTCAATCTCGGAGGTTTTGGTATTTATCATGAACTGAGAACAGTTTAGAAGCATTAAAAACCTGGGAGCACTGATAGCTGTCTCATTTTGTTTCATGATCTTGGATTTCACCCCTGATGGGTCTGATGGGAGCGTATGCTGAGAAACCCTCTGGTAAGAAGAAGCAGCTGCCAAGGGCTTCTAGGTTCTTAGTGATGAATACTAACTTGTAATCTACAGCTGATCTAAACGATGATAACACATTGACTTTTATCCCGACAGATCTTAGCTCACCACTGACTGGAGATGGTCACGTGGCCGCTCATATACTGTATCCATTGAAGAGAGACATTCATCTCAACCAAATCTAAACATAAATGGACATGATTCAACTGGTCGTTCCCATTCAACAAAAACTCTTCGAAATATACTAACTGGTGAAAATTGTGACACTACAATGTATGCCAAGAGATGCGAAGTGAAAAACTGGATGCATCTGCAATTACGAATGGGGGTACGCATAGAAAATGTAAGGAATTTTATTAATTATTTAATTCTGTTTAATCAAGTTTTGTTTTTTCACTCCCAACTTGTTTGAGAGCTTAAAGACGGAAAATAAATTGCTGACAGACTTTAGTTTGACTAGTGGTGTTGGATAGTGGCTATCAGTAGTATTCACAACCGGTGTTTCGTCCTATTTCGGACTCACCAGCCGGATTTACCTGCCTCCCATCGGGTGATGTTCTCCCAACGGGACTCGAACCTTGAACCTATTGCTTCAAACACCAGAGCGTTATCCACTAATTCATTAAGTCACGATAATTTGACTGTTTACAATAAATGAAATCTTTCTTGTTGAAGAAGTTTTTCAGTTGTTCACTAGTATGTTTAGTGAGTCAAACTTTTGTCTTCAAACTTCACTGTCTGTCAACAAGACTGTTGGCCGTGCAGCGCAGGTAACTCCAAAACTCTTTAGTAGAATCACTTCTGAAATGATGTGGATAATTTTGACTGTCATATCAACTGATTCATAGCAAAGAGGACTGATTCAAGATGGCTAACATAAAATGTTATCTCAATTCAATGAGCAGTAGTTTTCATTTCAGCGCCTGAAGATACTCACATTCTAAAGAGGCTCATTAAGTGTTCAAACTTACATGTTCTGTTTGTCTGTTTGTAATGAATACACTTTTCAGACCCTCAGTGTGTGGAAAAAGAACAGAGAAAGCACGCAGTCATTGCCGGCGGAAAAACGCAGTCTGCTTATACCTTCCACTAGAGGGTAAAGATGATTTTCTGCAAAGTGAACAGTTCAAATACCGATCTTCTCCCTACTTTTATGAAGTGTTTTATCGGCTAAACAACTTCAATCAAAGAAGCATAATGCCACGTTCCTCTTAACATTTATATTTCAAATGCCTTACAAAGCATTGAGTGTTTTAAGGACAGTAGGAATCTATAGCGAATCGTTGCAAACAAGGCCTCTTTGCATATTATAAAGGCATAAGTTATCACATCGTGTTTAAGCGTTATTTCCAGGTAATATTTATTACAGACTGAAATGAGTTGGATAACCTATGAAAACTGGGAGCGCTGGTCGGCTGTTTCGTCCCAGTGAGTGACTCCTTGGCATTACACACCCTTACACCCACCAGGAATCAGACTGAAGACAGTTGGGTCTTGAGACAAAGCGCTAACCATCTAGTCACTGGACTCGAAACCAGTTGTTCACAGAGTTAGGGATTCCCATGGTTGGACGAAACCTGTCCGGCGCTTCCAGGTCCTGGGTTCTTCTGTTAGTCACTATCCATTATTAGTAATATCATGTTTTATTGAAATTTCAATTTTTCTATACGTCGATTTCGACCAGTATATTTTACTCCCGAGAGTTCTGACATGTTTGTGCAGTGATAAGAGGAAATTACAAGCCAATCAGCTGTTATCTAATTGCCCAGCGTAAACGGACTCTTTAAAAGATTTGGGCACAGTGGGCTTAATTATTAAGGAATAGAACAGCTTTGATTCATCCTAAATTCGGTTACATTATGTAGCACGGAAAATTGTTTTATAACGTCTCATCAAGAATATAATGTCTAAGTGACTGGTCTCAAAAACAATTTCTCAGGTTATCTTTTATATATGACTAAAGTTTTTACTATACCATTGCATGAAAACCAACTGTTCAATTAATTCAGTCTTGGGCTATTTATAAATGTATCCAGATGCCCAATGTACGGCAGATGGATATTTAGCAAAATAACCCAGTCTATTTGCTTACTGATGTGGTAAATATGTTTCAGGGTGTAAAAAACTCAAATGAAATATCGTGCCACCAAACAGTTTCCCATTACTTTGTTTTTATTCTACTGAACCAGTTTACGTAGAGAAGAACGTGCTGAAATAATCAATTTAGCTGAACAAAAGGGAGAAAAGTGAAGCTGGAATGGAATAAGATAAACCATAATTTGCAAAAGATTGACTTAAAAAACTGAAAGGCAAAACGTTGATTAATTACTGGAGAGTAGCCTGAGTGCTGACCGATTTCCACCGATCATTTTGGAATGTGGCCAACATACAAGGTGGCTCAACATTGTGGGACACTATTGGATGTTAGTTGGGTGCGGATAATCGACCTCCACCTCGGTTTAGTGTTTGTTGGCACTTGTCAGCAGGCGTATCTGTAACCTCGAGGGATTTGGTATCCCCTATGAGTTTCAAACCTGTGTCACCAGTATCGTAGTCAGCGACGTTATCACTGAGCTACTTAGGACGCCAGAATACTTAGCTTACTTGCAGCACATCTTATCATCATGTTCAGCGACAAAGATTCCACCCTCTGGGTATGTATCCACTTCTTCAAGCTTGAGAAAACATTCAACTGATACTAACGAGGATTAGATGTACATTCAGAGTCTTTTTTTGAACACGTCCTCAACCTTTCAATGAAGAATATTGTTTGTTTGTGTGTGTGTGTGTGTGTAGAAAGTGTTGTGAATCACTAGAAATTTAGGTAAACAGTAGTTGAATAAATCGATTTCCAGAAGGTGAAGAGATAGAGATGTTAAAACCCTTCTTGAATCCAGTTACATCATATACATACAGGTATATACTTAAGCTGAGCATCTCGGCCCCACTCGTTCAGCCGCCTAGTACTTAATTTTATAAGAACAGTAGTCATCTCAGCTGATGGTGTTCAGAAATATCTGGTGTTTCAGTTTGGAGGTCTGATGTCAGTTGAAGAACCATTGAAAACCTTGAAGCATTGAACAGATTTTTTATCCTAGTAGGGGTGTCTTCAAAGGTCCACCCTGATGAAATTATCAGACTGAAACCAGGATAGTAATGTCTCACGGTGACTGTGTCACCTTTGACCCACTACCTCCGATCCCTATGTTTCCTAAATTTACGATATAACGTGACTGCCGTCCAACTCTATCAGAGAGTATTTGTCTTCACATGCAAATTGGTTGATGTCATAGGTCAAACAATTTAACCATTACACCACTGACAACTAAGATTATGCTTTTTTTCCAGTAGTCACTGCTTTTTACTGATCATTACTTAATTAATTGTCAGTTTACAGAATTCTTTTCTCTTTTTCTCAATTACAGCTGCTTTTAACATCATAACAGGCAGTTAAACTGATCGATAAAGACTCAGTGGATTGCAGAAAAAAATCCTCTAAGTGTGGAGAAAATAAAACGTAAAAAACGCTTGTTATTACCAAAAAGGAATGCAGACACTTTTAGCCACAGACGTGAGAATTGAAGATGGCAGACAAATTTAATTCCAGTTATCTCCTTCGTAAAACTGTCATTCGTAAACTATTGTTTTTGGGGACGTAATCGATGTGTGTGTGTGTGCGATGATGCATTTCCATTTGCTTGTCTCACTTTTCTCCTACCATATATATCATCATACACATGAAACTTATAAGTTCAACTGTTCCTATTTGCCTTTGTCCCTGCCTAGTTACTCTTTTTTTTTACTTCTATCCACCTCAAAAGTGTACCACATCATCAAGCAAATCAGCTTCACAATTAAGTTTTTTAGCTTTTCACTTTGATTGTTACTGCACTTTCCCCGCTTTTATGCATCCAACAACCTTGATAATGTTGTATTTCAATGGTAATTTAGTGTCTGTGTTTATTTCTTTAAAACTTTCTTTTTTTCAATATTTCGTTTGGTTTTTTTATCGCTTTAGTAATTAATCTACATATATGTGAGTATACTATCACAAGAAAGCATCCGCAAATACAATAAGACATTTTCATACATTGTGCTTCTCATGATTGGTACACTTCTAAGTAATATGATATATATATATATATATATATATATATATATATATATATATATATATATATATAATATGCGATTATTGGGCGTTCACTTAAAAAGTGTGTAGATCTCAGAGAAGGGTTGGTAAAGTGTTGATTGGTCTTGGCATGTCAACTAAGAAGTGAATACCGGTTGAGTTGTCAAGTAGGTCGTATTGCTATCATGCATTTCTAATGTGAAAGTTGATGGGTTATATTATAAGACCTACAAGATACCCATCTTTAGCTCACAATCGACCTTACATTTCGTTGTACATATTAATCCTGAAGAGACCTTTCTGACACTTTTTTAATCCAAGTATGATTTAATTTGCTACTGATGTTTCTATTTCATACTTTGTTTACTCTCTAAAAGGTCAGCTATTTCAGCCCGTATACGCCAGTTTTAACCTCCTTTACTGCAGTGTTGTGTGATTTTGATTCGGATGATCACAGATACACTATCCTAGTGACTGTTATTAGGAAATAAACCTGGATACAGGTCTGTCCACCAACTACTTCCAACCAACTATAGTCTATCCACTCGAAGCTCTCATATTAAGGTGTTAACTGTCACATATGCGAAATCATGACAGAGAAGTCTTAGGTAGCAATATTCCAGGATTCCAGCTGTTTCGCTGTGACTGATGGAGACATATATCGTTCCAGTTTTGTAGACTTGTGTCTCCGATTCAGAAACATTGATCAGTGAAAGATAGAGAGAGAGGTAACTATACCTTTAGTTCACCTATGAAACTTCTTGCTTGATTTTAACAAACAACAAATAATTAAACATTCCCACTACAATTCAAAAGACACTTGAATGAAAAAACGATGCTGCTTTCGATAACTTCTTCAGGTTTTACAGTTAGATGTATATTATTATTATTATTATTTAACCTTGCGCTCCTAGTGAAACACAGAGGTTCACTAGCACGTCACCATTCCATTCCGTTCTCTACAGTCTTTTGAACCTCGCTCCACGACTGACCACAAGCTTTCATTTCTTTCTCACGTGATCTTTTCTATGTCACCCTCAGCTGGGACACCCAACTCGTCGTTTCCTTTTTGGATTCCATTCTGGGCTTGGCCTGGAGTTTGATGTCCGCAATCGGCCTTCATAGTGCATGCCAGATCCATCTCCACTTTTTTCTACTGCATATTTGTTGGGTGATGGGTTCTTGGTTGGTTTGTTGCCAGCCAGCCAGAGTTGCTTGTTGCTTATTCTTACTATTCTGACCATCTAATCTTCAGTGTCAGTATCGAGTGAGCGTAGGCGGCAGCTGCTGATATGACGAATGTCTGTAGTTTGTTGAAAGTGCGTTTCGTGACGCAACTAGTTTCTGAACCATATAAAAGCACTGACTTGACATTAGTGTTGAAAATCCGGATCTGTTCCACATGCTGAGTACAGTAGGTCTACACTGATTTCAGGTTAATGAAAGCCTGTCTTGCCCTTCCGATCCTGGCTTTGACATCCTCGTCCGTGCCACCTGTAGTTGAAATGATGCTGCCTAGGTGGGTGTAGGTGGAAGAGACTACTTCCTTTAGATTTCTCCCGTTGATGGTGATTGGTGTTTGCCGTTGATGCTGTCGTTGGTTGGGTATCTTTATCACCTCCGTCTGCTCTATATTCACTTGAGGTCCCGTCTTCGCTGCCTCACCTCGTCTGTCAACTTGTTAGTTTTCGTCCATAGATCTTCGAGTTTGTGCAACACTAAACACAGAGCATTGGCAAGATCCAAATCTTCTTCTAGGCTCTTTTCATCAGTTCAACAATATCGAGATTTTACTTAGCAGTCTGTGATTAACATTATATAGTTGTAGAAGTCAATTCAAAATATTTTTTGTGAATTTCCAGGATAGTATCAACTGTTACTGGGACTCATTTAAAAAGTTAATAATCTAAGATATTACACTGAATAGGTAATGCTTTAGGGTAATGGTTTAATGAAACAATAGGAAGGTGTTTATGACAGACAGATGAAACAAGCAAAGAAAGATGATTTAAGTAATAATAGCTTGATAGATGTTACTCATGCTGGGGAACAAAGTATGTGAAATAAACGGATATGCCAAAGTTATTTCAGATTATGGAGATGAAGCAGGTACCTACAGTATGGAATAAGATTATTTAGGGTAGGATAAGAATGATTTTGTGCATCCCAAATAGAACCAAGGTAGTTGCAGTGACAGTACTTCCTTTTTTGAACGTCTAATTATGATTGTTTGATCCTGAGTACATAAGTATTACCAGGTATCAGTTGTTAAACAGATGGAACTAGTAGAATTCAGAGACAAACTATTCAAAGGAACACAAGCACCAATAGACCGTTCACAGTAGTTGCTTCATTTCTGTCTAAACATCAAAGTAACTGATGTCTCTAAAACAAAGTGTACGATATTCATATTAAAGTAACGGTGAGCACTGTGGTAGATAGTAATTCCATTTTATTCTGTCTATTAGAAATGTCACACAGCGAAACAGTATCATATATTGGATAACGTTTCGGATATAATTTATTGTCCATATTCATATGAGGTGACCCCATAACTTCGAGACAGCATTTATGTATTTCTAATTTTCTCTCTTCTCTGTGATGACAAGGGTAGTCGAATCTTTCACATTTGTGACAGGTGCAGAATCATTTCTGTGGCATATATTTGGTGTTGATTCGATTATCAATCTCTTCCTCCAACCAAGTCAATTTTTAATACTGTTGCTCTATCCCACCCTATTGTGTGATTGTGTGTAACTGCAAGCAACACCTCTAGCCAGGCTTTTTCTAAATTTTGTTATCTTATTAGGATCTACTAGTTTTGATTCAGCTAGGCTTCTGTGCCCTGTTATTCTAATCGACCCTGGTCGATTACTTTGACCTATGTATTTGACCACGCGATCATTGTAAGAGATTCGGTAAACCAAATTACTTTGCTTAACTGGATCACTGGGATATTTTAGCCCACAAAGCTTGTTTCAAAACGACTTTGTTGGGTCAAATGCCACTCTTATTCTAGCCTTATCAAGAATGCTTCGTAACGCTTCCGAGGTAGCTTCTTTGTATGATAACATAGTAGAGGCTTTGTTTTGTCTCTCAACCTTGTTACAATTATTACTACCATTTTATTATTGTCAGTAGAATTATTAATAATAACCCCCATGTCACTACTACTGCTCGCAGTATTCTTTCGATATCTTATGAATTTATTGGTAAGTTTAGGTGGGTAATTATTCAGACGCAAGGTATCTTGATGTGTGTAATTTTTGCCACAGATTTTTCGCCTTACGTTTGCCCAATCTTGCAATCCAATATTGCTACCTCACCTTCATCACTATCTGTCATAGGTAAAGTGGATGCTTACACTATTGAATTTTTGTGTTCCGATTTCAGCATTGTAACGTGTCATATACATACCGGAATCATGTATTAGGAGTAAGACTAAATATGTGTGACAATAGGGGATATTGGTGATCCCATGGCAACCCTGCCAGTTTGTATATATATTTTATTATGGAACTCAAAACTGTAGACGTCAGACACAATTGTACTTTTAGCAAAACCAGAAACCGTCAAAGTTTGCATATCTTTCGTGTATATGGACGGTATCCTCTTTAGTGTTATTGCTTGTATTACACCGTTGTTGACTGAACCAGTCTCTGTCGGCATATCGGCTCCTTTGCGGATGCCTCGATATTACCTGTGTTTTAATAATGTATAGTAATGATGGGCAGTGGCTAGCAGTGGAATCCTATTTCTTGGCAGCCTACAGATTGTCTAAACGCACTGATGACCATTTTTGCTGCCCAGGAAAGTAATTTCTGCGCACTTGTAGCAATGGCTTTCCGTTTGTCAATTTTCGTTTAATGGTGACACAAAAACGTTCAGTACTGATCTGCAACATCGTTTACATAGGTGGAAATGTATATCCGGATAATTCCATTAAAAATTTATGGCACAGAAAACGAACCCTTCGTTTCTGTGATAACAGTTCAAAGGGGGCCTTCCAAATGACATCCTATCGGATCCCAGCTAGAGCAGTCCACAGAAAGATTTACACAAGTGGTCTTTGCAAGTCTTTCAGCAGTCGGTCAATGTTAACTCAACCCGAGACTTAAGGATAGCCTTCCTAATCTTAGTTTCTATTCTTCCATCCTTACTATCCCAGTGTAACAAGTTACATAGTGAATGTGATTAGGCAGGTGAGTCTACAGATACTAGATAGTTTACAAGTTTGGTTAGAAAAGCGTTGAGTGAAAGTGGTGAAAAGTTCTATCCCACAGGATCTAGTAAACACAATGTATCACAGAG